ATCCGCTAAATTTAATTATTCGAATAATTGCAGTACTCGACCATCAAAACTCCAAGGTGCTTATTCATTTTCTTGCCACAACTTGAAATTTACTTATATCTATTATCCACACAAATGCCATGTACTTAAAAGTAATTATTTTATCTTGTAAAGCATGTTTATCTAAGCTGATCTTTTGATATTTTAATCAACATTTATTAACAGCTATCTCCGGAAAATATCATTCACAGGATCAAAGTGACAACTCAGGATCTAGTGGTGACGAATTTTTGAATCCCCACATGTATTCAGAAACATCAGAAACAGTAAAAAATTCTGTATCCGCTAAGAATTCCACGCGGGCCAGGTCTCGTGAAGAGGATTCGGATTCGGATTACATTCCTCATGATGGCTCGTTTACTAATTTGGATTCGAGTAGTTGCAAGAGACGAAGGCCACCTACATGGCTTACCACTCCATTTTTGGTTGTTGGTCCACATGGAATAGGAAAAACGACACTTGTTTACACTTTAGCGAACGAGCTTGGCTTTAAGGTAAGAATATTTATATTTTGATTTACTTTCATGTCTCGATATATAGTATAATATGAACGCTCATTATTAGTATGGTTTTTATAGCCAAATCATACTTCAAATTTCAACATTTCTTTGCCCGTATTGATCAAGAATTTATTCTTTATATTATTTCGTATTGAGGTGCTTTTCTTTTCACATAATCATCTAAACTTTCTTATAAACCTACAATCTGATTCAATTATGATAGTGGTTTTTAGGTTTTTGAGATTAACTCTTCTTCTCGGAGATCCGGCAAAGATATTGCCAATCAATTTTTTTCTGCTATGGATTCGCAACATGTTGCCAAGGATCATCTTACTTCTGCATATAGCACCTTCCATATGACTGATGGTACGTTTCGGTTTGTCTCACTTTTTGTTAAGCATTACAAAATTCATCTTTATTTTGAACAGAATATTAATTAGGCCCATAATGCTTCCATAGTTAACTGCTATTTATCTCGATTTTTCGCTTGGCAGTTTTTCATCTATTTTACCTAGACTTCAAGTTACCTGTTCTTTTTTTAATTAGATTTAACGTTTATCGTTCATTTACTTTTTTCTACTCAGATCGGGCCATGAAAACCACTAAGTCACCGATAATGAGAAAAAAAATCAAGAGAAAAAGTAATCTGACTGACTATTTCCTCCCTAACAATGAGGGGAAAGCTCTAGAATCAAAATCTTTTCCAAAATCCGAGCCTGTGTCCCTACGGCTTGAGTCCGGTCAGTCCAGCTATTTATTATATCAATATTTTAGTACTGTATTTATTTACCTTCTTTATAATTATATTAGCTTAACTGCAAGACATCTCATTGGAAAAACTGAAAATAATATTGGTCTAGTCTTCTTATTGTAATTTTTATTCGTTGTCTACCTTATGCTAGTATTCTCTAAAGCATTTCCTTTATCTTTGAATTTTATTTTCT